CTCTACTGCACCTTGAAAAAATTTAAGGCACAAGCCACTAGAACGCCCTCACATATACAGTACAAGAGGACTTCTGTTGGGTAGTTTCCTTAGGCAACATAAATAAGAGATGCAGAATCATATTTGCATTGGAAAGCTGCTTCCTTTTCCTTTCTCAACATTATTGTTTCATTTCTTCTATTGTTTTCTCTCCCCCTTCCACCCACCTCAAATCCGGCCTCTACATTTTCTGTTTCCATTCAAGCATTGATAATTACTTCCCAATGTGCTGTAACAAATGGCAACCATGATCTAGCCATTAAAATCTGTAATTGAAGTATTTCTGAGACATAGCAATTGCATGGTTTGCATTTATTTCCTGCCTGCATTTAATTAGATTGTTATTTGTCAATATGTACTAATATTTCATGTGTTATGTTTTAAAACGAACCATGCTGGTATGTGAAGGATAACATAAGCCAGTTAAGTGGAAAGACACTGACAAGTGTGGAGGGGGTAGACAGCTGCAAGTTATAAACCTGGGCAAGTAGGGGTTGGAGGGGAGATCAGATCTTCTAGTGTAAACATGACCTCTCTCTGCCAAGACACATGGAATTTACCTTTCTCTTATATGTAAATAAAACATTCTTTTTAATACAATTAGAAACTCATCCATGGTAATTTTGATATAACTCACTTATTTGATGACATAGAAAGTTACACAACCCTGCTTCTAATCTGTTTTCTTTCTCCCCCAACCATTTCCTGATCTTATCTATTTTATTTTACAGTACAGTGGTACCTTGGGTTACAGACGCTTCAGGTTACAGACTCCGCTAACCCAGAAATAGTACCTTCGGTTAAGAACTTTGCTCCAGGATGAGAACAGAAATTGTGCGGCGGCTACGCAGCGGTAGCGGGAGGCCCCATTAGCTAAAGTGGTGCTTCAGGTTAAGAACCGTTTCAGGTTAAGGATGGACCTCCAGAAGGAATTAAGTTCTTAACCCGAGGTACCACTGTACTTAAAATATTTAAAAGCTTTCCAAACTTTTCATGTTGGTGACACACTTTTTAGACATGCATCATTTCTCAACTTCAGTTCCACATCATTTTGCGACACAGTAATTCAATTTTACTAGCAAAACAGAGGCTAAACTAACCACTTTCCAGCCCCGGAAGGAGCGTGGGGAGCGTTCGCATGGCACATAGTTTGGAAAGCTCTGCTCTCAAAAACCATAGACTGCCAGGCATTTTCAGTCCCCATACTATCCCAGTTTAATACAGGTGAGTGGCAACCCCTGCAAGCTGTGTGCCTATGTGTGTGATGGTATCTCAATTATTCTTTGTACAGTGCCATCAGTGAAGGAGCAGGGGACAAGAACATTCCCAAGCAAATCTGCCATTAACAGCTAGAAGTGATACCAGCTTTACAGAGCTACGATAAAGCTGCTATAGCTCCTGGCTGTGAAAGGCAGATTTCCTTAGGAATATTCATGGTTCCTGCTGAAAAGTTAAGTGTGTCACTAATACAGCACCTGGTGCTCTTGCAGGAATCATTAAATAATGATTCTGGACAAATGTAGGTTCTGATTTTCTGAAAAAGAATGTTAACTATAAAGATATATCTGAGATTCTGATTGGATCAGAGAACACTAAACTGTGCTTCTCACAGTTTGTATAATGAAGCTCCCTAACAAAACTACAGCGTTAGCTGCCTACACCTACTTCCAATGTATATCTTTCATCTACTTCAGTAGTCTATGAGATAAGACCAAAGGAGAACAGTAAAATCAGCACAATATGGGCAATAGGAAGATCTGGGAGCCTGAAGAGCTCTGTCACAGAAATGCCCAGTTTTATTTTTTTCCCAACAGATCTGAAGCTGAGCTGAAACAGCTATTGCCATTTCAGCTCTGTTAATTTTTTGAAAGATGACCAAGCCCTAAAGATTTTTAGATGCCCTACTAAAAGCTTCTAAAATAATTGTAGGCTCGTCTGGATGGCATAGCAACAGCAAGAAGACAATTCATAAGTCCAGTTCCCTCACCACAAAGTTGTCAGTGACAGATAACGTTCTAACACTAAAAGACTGGCACATATACATATATGGCACATCTTTATTAAAAGCAATCAAAGGTTTCTCTTTTTGACTTCTTAGACATTTTGGGGGAACGCTGGCCATTTAAAGATGAGAAAGTAAGGAGGGCCCTAGTGGGTCAACCCAAAAGGCCCACTTGTATTAGCATTCTGTTCTCACCAAATGCCTATGCAAAGCCCACAAGCATAAGATGTGCACAATCACACTCTCTTCAATTGTGATCCTCACCAACTGGTAATCAGGGACACATTGTTTTGGATACTGAACACTAGTAGATTTTTATTGTCTTGTCTTCCATGAATATTCCCTCCTGCCTGATGGCTAAATTTATTTGACTAGACTAATTGATCAAAACATATTTTGTTGTGACCAATCAACTGGGAATCCTTTTTAATACATGTATTTTTAAAGCTGCTAGTGGAAGGAATCCTCTAAAAACATTTCCCCTTTTGTCATGTGCATGAGAGAATGCCTTTTCTTTGGCACCTGCTATGACCCAGGTCCACAGATAGGCTGCCCCCCCCAAAAAAATATTACTGTTGTATTAGAGTTTTAAATAAATTCAATAGAGAATTTATAGAGAGAAATGAATTCAAAAGAGAATAGCAGTAGAATAGGGAATCAAATGCACAGGTATAGCATGGGGAATACCTAGCTTGGCAGAAGTGCATGTAAAAAAAGGATGTTGAAATTGTAGTTGGCACAATCACAACATAATCAGCAGTTTGCTGTTACTGCAATGAAGCCTACTATGAACATAAAGAATGCATTAGTCTTTAAGGTTCCATGAAATTCTTGGGACAGGCAGATGAAAAAGTAAGGCAGAGTGGGTGTTATCTGCACGTTGATGGCATTTCAGCCCCAAACCTCTGAATGACTTCTCCCAGCAGGTTCACTGTAGATGCTAAAAAGCATGGGCTTACTACCGATTAATGGTTCTTTCTTGCTTGCAGTGATAGCAGGGGAAACCTCACTCAATATTTGTTTTACCATTAGGCATGCAGAGTGCAACAAATCTGACAGGTGAACACAGAAATTATCTTTTTTTGCAAAGGCAAGTTTACAGCAGTTAAGGTATAAACCTTTTCTGATTACAAAACCGGATAGGATCAAAATCTGGGACACTTCTAGGAAAATCAATAGTGAGCTTGCTTTGTGTACATTCAAGATGATTTTGTATCCCGGGCATAAAAATAAATAGCAGCAGTAGGCAGCAGGAGTCTTCCAACAGCAGAGGGGGTTAAAAGAAGTATGAATAATGAGAACATACTTTTAGCCAGGCAAAATTGCTCATATGTTAATAATAGATGACTCAAGATACGCAGCATGGTGTCAATATCTGTGAAACATTACAAAGTGAAACCCTCATAGTAGTGAAATGCTAGATAGTAGTGCTGGCAGGCTTGGTATGTTTGAAAGAAATCTTCCCCAGAGGATGATCCCAGTGTGTATGCTCAACCGCAACATTTTTAGATTAGAAAAAACACAGTTCCTCCCCCACATCCAGCCTCCTGATGGTTCAATGACTTCATCTAATGGTCCTACCTAATAGTGCCTGCACTTACACAACCTATTCAGTGGCATGGTTACAGTAGTTAAGTGCCTTCTGAAAAGTACTAAACATTGCCATTTTCCATTGTTTCAAGTGAAGAGCTGCAAATGGAAGTTCTTTGAAGAATTAGGCTATAAGCCTCTCTGTTCCAGGCTCTTTATATAACTATGGGATATTATTTTGTGGGGCGGGGGACGCCTTAGACACTGGAAATAATGTGTGGCTATTTATGAAAGAAAACAGAATTGCACTTGCAAACGGGCTGCTCCATGTCTATCGGCATTCCTGAGGTTCAGTTCACTGTTTCAAAAAGCACTACTAGTCCAGCTGACCCACTCAACCTTCAGATTAGGACTTAGTCCAGTAAACCTATAATGTATTGTAATAATAATAATAATAATAATATTTATACCTTGCCCATCTGGCTGAGTTTCCCCAGACACTCTGGGCGGCTTCCAACAAAATATTAAAAATACAATAAAACATCAGTCATTTAAAACTTCCCTAAACAGGGCTGCCTTCAGATATCTTCTAAACATCAGATAGTTGCTTATTTCCTTGACATCTGGTGGGAGGGCGTTCCACAGGGCGGGCGCCACTACCGAGAAGGCCCTCTGCCTAGTTCCCTGTAAACTGCCCTGCCCTGTGGTCATCAGATGAAGGGTGGTACAGTGGTACCTCAGGTTACATACGCTTCAGGTTACAGACTCCACAAACCCAGAAATAGTACCTTGGGTTAAGAACTTTGCTTCAGGATGAGAACAGAAATCGTGCTTTGGCGGCATGGCAGCAGCGGGAGGCCCCATTAGCTAAAGTGGTGCTTCAGGTTAAGAACAGTTTCAGGTTAAGAACGGACCTCTGGAACGAATTAAGTATGTAGCCAGAGGTACCACTGTATATGAATTTAATAAATAAGCGAACAAAAAATGAGTCCTCCTAATACATTCATTTTTTGAAAACCAAAAGAAGGCAAGAAACCACACTGTGGACGAAAATGCCACAAAAGGCACATGAAGAGATATCATCACAACTAACCAGATACTGCCAAAAAAGTAGGGTCCAGCTCACAGAACACTCCTAAATGTGTCTACTCAGAAGCAAGTCATACTTTCAATGGGGCTTTATCCAAGGTGAATGGATATAAGCAGGGCTGGAGAACTGACTTTCCAAGATGTTGCTGAACTACAGTTGCCACCTACCTTGACCACTGGCCATTCCTGCTGGGGCTGCTGGAATCCCACATCTGGAGGGCCACAGATTCCCTGTTTCTAGGATAAGGGAAATGTATCACACACTAGTTCTGATTGGCATGTTGCCCCATATGTATTGATTTCAGTTAGTCCAAATTGAGATCTGCAAGTAAAGGGGATTGCCTTGATTTATAGTGCATTAGCTTGGTTGGTAGAGCATGAGACTTTTCATCTCAGAGTCATGGGTCCAAGCCCCACACTGGGTAACAGATTCCTGCATTTTAGGGGGGTTGGAATAGATGATTCTCGTAGTCTCTTCCAACTCTACAATTCTGTGTTTCTGTGGAAAAATAGTCCTTAAAATCAGCTAGTTGGTGGAAATCACATGTTTGGCACAGTTAAAATAATCCATGCATGTTGGTAACTATTTAATTCCAAGCAAAAAAATTAAAAAGGAAGCTTTTTCACATTCACTGTATTGTACATGATGCAGCATGACTTTAGCCATATGAACTAATAGTCTCCTCCTCCATGACTGTTCTGGATATGTTGAATGTTTGGATTGGGCAATGCTGTAAATTTCTCAGATATTAACTCCAGCATCTAATTTATTATTTGGCTTGTTTTATTATCCCTAACTGGGGTCATTGCATTCAGCAAATGGCTATTTTCTATGCATTCTCTGTTGATAAACAGCAGAACTGAGATACGTGCAATAAATCTTAACTATAGTTCCATATCTGAGAAAATAGTAAGGCATAATATGAGTGACAATGTTAGCAATTCTATCTTTAAAATGAGAATGAGCAACGTAATCGCAGAGGAAGAGCTGCACCCAAAGTATATACTCAAGATGTTGAAGGTCCCTTGCGGGAGTGGGGGAGGGGGCTAGAGGGTAGTTTCACAGAAACTGCCATAAGGCACAGATTCCTAGCAAGATCATAAGGATATAACTGAGTGCAAGCAGCCAACAAAGCAAATAAAAGATCACACTAAAAACTGTGATATTGCCTCTAGCATTGCTCTGGCATAGGGAATTGCAATTCATGGTCAGAGAAACAGAATATAATTCTAAATTCTCTGATACCTCCTTGAGAAAAGAAAGCTTTAAATTAAGGTTACCAGATTTTTTTCAATGAATCCAGGGGACACTTTTCAACTTCAATTGATTTTGTATGGGGCCTGATTTGTAAATCCGGGGACTGTCCCCAGGAAACGGGGACATCTGGTAACCTTACTTTAAATTATTTTGATGTAATCAGATTCACAATTTCATCGAAGGGCTTGCTTGCATGCCCATTTAATGGAATAAAGAATAAATATCTCAAGAGTAATCACTTTCCATATTTTGGACAGAAATGCTTTGACTCGTCTTAGGGTAGAATTGCATATTCTAAGAAATATGGAGCTGATGCTGAAAACAGCAGCTCTAAGCTACCCTCTGCCCTTCTGTCATGAACAACAGCTTACCCTGGCAACACAAAGACATGACATTTCACCCCCTTCACAGGAGGGAGGCAGGGAATGGACAATCTACCATCAACTGACCTAGAACTTCCAACATCACTTGTGTCAGCTAATTACCAACGCCATGTACCACAATTGTGTGTAGTATTTTTTAGCCACTTTTTTCAGCTTATAAGCACAAACATTGAAAATAGGTATAACAACAAGAGTGGCCTCAATCCAGCTAAAAATAGTCATGAGATTGAACACAGCAATCCTATATACACTTACCCAGGAATAAGCCCCACTAAAGTCAGCATGACTTACTTCAGGGTATACATACATAGGGCTAGTTGAAGCTACCTTGTTTCCTCTGGAACTTAATCAAAGTTTAGCAGAATTAGGGCAACGGGGTGGGTCCCCCCACCAAAAAAAGGAAATGGTTTAGTCAGATGATATTTATTGTTTTCTAATCAGACATCATAATATATATGAATGGAGGCAAAATAAAAAGTTTTAAACCCAGATTTTGTTTCTAGGTTCCCAAGACAGTGAAGTCAAACATCTTCAATTAACTCTCCTTACATTTCCTTGAAGCCCTTTGCATTTTAAAAAAATGTAATTATTTAAATTTTTGTTACAGGGGAGTACAGCCATATCTCCTAGATATTCACAGCTGTGTCTGAATTTATGAATATAAATAATACATTTAATGTACACTGTAAAGAAAGATTACCTCAATGGAGTGAATTATTCAGTGGCAAAAATTATTTGAAAAAGAAGCAAAGAGAGGTTACTTTTTGTAAATGCAGCACTACAATATATACACTTTTCTGCAACTCAGATGTAAATTAACAAGAATATGATCTAGTTCTTACATACAACACAGGAGTAATTCCTATTTCTCATCTGAGCTTTTTTAGACTTACAAAGGTGCCATCTTCTGAAGCACATTGAGGGGACCCAACCATGCCTGGCTCCAACAATGGGGGAGCCTGCCCCCCTCAAAAAACAACAACACTGAGGGGGGTCTACACCACCTTCAACTGCCTGGAGCCAGCACCTTTGGTAGGTGGATCTCATGAGTAAAAGCTCCTCCATACAATAAGTCTTAGAATCTAGAAGTCAAGAAGAAAGCTCTTCTCCCTGGCATCTTGCTTTCAATGCAGAGGACTCTGTATATCTATTTCTTTAGTGTGGAGAACATTTAAGGCACACAAATTCCCACCTGCAGTCTAAAGCTTCTCAATTGGAATACAGGCTGGCCTCCTTCTCTGCTGGAAGTACAAGCCTGAAATTCGAATCAGTTCTCCAGATAACCTCCACCAGACACCCATTTGCACTTGAAGACACCCTGGTCCAAAGGGGTGATTCCCACAGCAATTTGCAACACAGAAAGTTGACTATAGCAATTTACTCTGCACAACACACCAGGAACCATCTCTGGGTATATACAAGCCTGAAATCAGGAATGGAATGTAAAGTCTAAATTAACTCATCCACTGATGCAGCTAGAGTGACAAAGCAGTGATTTCCATCAATTTTAAGCTATTGCAATTGAAGAAATTTCTGTCATATATATGGATGTGTCTGTTCAGAGGTTACATTTGCCATATTCCTGGAACAGTCAGTTTACCTCAAGTGGGCCCAATTTTAACTGAAGCATAACTATGCATGTCTACTTAGAAGTAGTCCCATTGTGTGCATAGGTCTGCTATGTGTCTAAACCATATACAGGGGGCGGGGGGTGGGACAGATGAGGGGGAATATTAACTCCAGCTTGAAAAGAAAGAGGATGGCTACTAGCTGAATCTTAGCAAAGGATGGGTACTCAGGCAGATTTGCTTTTGCTTTCTACCCTACAGAGGTAAAGGAGCCTTCGTGTTAAAACATTTATCCAAATAACACTTTGTAATTATGTTAAGCGAAATGTTGCCTTCAAGAGTTATTTGAACTGAGCTTTATTTGACAAGGAAACATGCTTAATTCACAAGTGCCTACTTTTTGTAGGTTGTCATCAACATTTTTCTTTTTCAGTGCATTTGCATGTATTGAACTGGACTTTTCAGATAGAAAAGAGAGGAAGAGCAAAAAGATACATCAACCCTGCACTGAGCAAATGCAGGGGAAATCATACCCAGCTGTTGTATGTATCAAATAATTAGCTGAGAGCAAAAGAAGGTGCTAGGTCAGAGGCAGACAACCATTCTGGCTCGAGGCATGTGGTGGGCTCATGTGCTTGCACACAATAGAGGGCAATCCCTTCGCGCACACCCCCCTTCCCAGATGACTGGCACTGACAATCAAGATCTCCTCAGCCCACCAAGCAGCTGCATGGTGGGCTAAAGGGAGCGAAACTGTGATGAGAAGACACAACACAGAGAGAGAGAGAGTCGCTCTTGTGTGCCTCACTTCCCATGGGAGCCACACTGCCTTCAGCCCAGGAAACAGATGCTTTGGCAGACTGGGGTGGGGAGCAGGTGGCAAGGTGAAATTGGGCAATCTGCAGATACAGCCTCTGTGGGACACACGAAGCTGACATGTCCTAGGAATTCTAGTATTAACTATACATTATACTATATAGCTTACAAATGGCCCAAGTCAGTAGTACTGTGCTCCTTAGTCACAACTGAGATTTGCCACTTCACCTCCAATTCTTGATTTCTGATCTGCCCTGTTCCAAATCACACACATGGATGTTGATATTTGGGTTGATATGAAAACAACTGTTGTGGTTGGTTTTTTACATTCTGTTACCAAACACAAACATCTAGATTAATATTGTCTTTGAAGCAGCAAAGTGACTTTTAAAATTATACCCTAAAAGACTAACAGTTCTCATTTGTACCTATACACAGTCTCAAAAACCACTACACAGTTGGAGAAATGAAGGTTTAGAGCAGCTGATCTCAATTCCCATCCCTACTTGAAAATTGTTGGGTGTCTTGACAGACCACTTAATAAACTTCTTTTTATTCAGCACCAACGCTTACATTTAAAAAGTGCAATATTATGAAAACCGTCAGTCCTATCCCAGACTACTGAGAAATGCCTCTTCAAATGGTAATTTTTAATGAGAAAAATATTAGACTGCGCCAGCATTGTATTATGAAAGTCACAGGCCCTAGTTCAAGTTCTTGTTAGCCTGTTTGATAAATCCAGTCCTGTCAAAAGAGCCTTGATCTCCATTGTCACTAAATATTAAAGTATGGTAATACAGGGCCAAGTACACATATTATTAACAGCTCTGCAACTTTCCTGCAGACCAGTACAGTGGTACCTCGGGTTACATACGCTTCAGGTTACATACACTTCAGGTTAACCCAGAAATAGTACCTCAGGTTAAGAACTTTGCTTCAGGATGAGAACAGAGATTGTGCTCCAGCAGCGTGGCGGCAGCAGGACGCCCCATTAGCTAAAGTGGTGCTTCATGTTAAGAACAGTTTCATGTTAAGAACAGACCTCCGGAACGAATTAAGTACGTAACCAGAGGTACCACTGTAGTCTCTGTGGACCATAATTTGAGGAGCCCTGGTTTAGAGAATTTACCACTCCATTTGCATTCACTTCCAACAGCTTGGATACACTTTCCACCCACATATGCCTATAATGTGAAGATAATAGATATGAAAGCAGCAAGGAAACAATTTTACTACTACATGTGAATGGAGACATTGTTTTCCCATTCTCAGCATAACTTAAAAGGAAAATTATAGAGTTGGGGCTTGTTAAAATCAAAAGGAAGGAGATGTAGAACTGGAGCAACAGAATCATGCTGAAATAAAGTTGGTTATCACATTAGAAATTATATTCTTGTCCT